TGTGATCACTACGATCTCGAGCCTGGCCTAGAGGGGAGGAAAGAGCGGGAGAAAGCAGATTTAGGTGTTGATTTGAATCGGTATTAAACTAATCGACTCGTTAAGATGCCTCCCTAGTCTTATTCGTCCTCCGTATTTTGCTATCTCTGCCCACTGTATGACTAGTTTAAAGCAGCAGGCTTTGCATATTCAACAAGGAAGAGTCAATATAAAGAAATTGTAATGAGATGAGACAGAGCTTTTGCCTCCGTTTCAAAATAAATAAATATAAATTGTAGTTTATGAAGAAAAAAAGAGACCCCACCTGGGATGTGTGATAGATCCGCACATCACGCTTACGGGGCTGTTTGTTCCTGTGAAACTCTCCAAGTGGTTGATTCTAATGAGATTTTCAGACTGATCGAGTTGCTTCGAAGCAATTGTCAGCGAATCAAATGTCCATCCGCATTTCTGAACATTGGGAACTCGACCGTTTTTCAGGAATTACAGGGGACGGGAGGTGCCTGTTCCGGTCCGTCGCCTACGGGGCCTGCATAAGGAGAGGCAAGCAGTCGCCGAGCGACAGCGTCCAGAAGGAACTCGCCGACGAGCTTCGAGCAAAGGTGACTTTCATCACTTGATGATTTCGTTGCATTCCATGCAATTTTAGCAAAAGAGATCGCTGACCCACCGTTGTCCTGTTTCAGGTTGCAGATGAGTTCATCAAGCGAAGAGGAGATACCGAATGGTGAAGTCTTCTTTCCTCCTCTTACCATTTGTGTACATCAGAGCCGTCTTTTCCTGCAAAAAACCATATGCTTAAAAAAGAGAATTAAGCATGATCTCTTTTTTTTCCCTGCAAAAAACAAAAGTAACATGATCATTTTTTATGTGAATCTTTGGTGCGATGGATAGGTTCCTCGAAGGCAATTTCGAGAGCTATGTGCGCAAGATGAGGAAGCCTCACGCCTGGGGAGGAGAACCTGAGCTGCTCATGTGCTCACATGTTCTTGGGTAGGCACCTTTCTTTCTTGCCTGCAATCAATTTGTAAGTTTATATTCTGAAATGTAATTGCTTATGATGAATGTCAACACTGCTTGCAGGATGCCCATCACCGTCCACATGTACACCAAGGGCGCCGATAACCCCAGGATCATAGCAGAATATGGTCAGGAATATGGCAAGGACAACCCGGTCCGTGTTCTTTACGACGGTTATGGGCACTACGACGCGCTGCAGCCATCTCTTGTAAGAACACAACCAAGACTGTAAGTTGCTAGTACAACACTGCGCAAAATCCGACAACATTTGGCCTACTCTTTTGAGTTGAGGAACCAACGTTCCCTCCTGTGAATTTGCAGGAGAGGAGCGTAGCTAACCGGAGAATGACGCGGTCGCGCTATGTAAGCTTCTTCTACTACTTCTTCTACTACTACAACACTGCAACTTGGTTTCGTTCGAGTTGGCAGATCGCGGTATAGCACATATGGAAGTCCAGCCCGGGTTCGCTGCTCTGTCGTTCGATCTTCTTCGAGGCTGATGTATAAATAAGCTTCGCGTGTGTAACTCCTGATCCAGTCAGGGAATTTAACTGCATAAACTTACACTGCGTTCAGCTTAAAATGGAGTGTTTTGTGTAAATTCTGGAATATTTTACTCTGAAAGCTTGCTGATGGACATTTGATTCGCTGACAATTGCTTCGAAGCAACTGAATTCTCACGGCAAATGCGAATACAATCTTATCTTGTTATGTTGGTCACCGATTTTCCTCTAGGATTGCTACATAGAAAACAAAATGTGTGCATAATCATCATTTGAGGGCTCTCCTTAGACTGATATTTGGCCAATTTGACACATGCCTATCGAGTACTACTCCCTATGAAAACAAACATAAGGGCGTTTAGATCAATATTTTAGTGATGTAAATGCTTTTATATTTCTTTACAGAGGGAGTAGTGATGATTAATAAAGGCCGGAACCACCAGAGGAAAAAACCCAGAATTATGGGGCACGTTCAAAGGTGGCTCTTTTCTACGAAGATAGAAAAAGCTTTGGAAGTACCTAAGTTAAAAGATCGGAGGTACCAGACAAAAAGCTGGCTCTTTTCTACGAAGGTAGAAGATGCTTGGAAGTACCGGGGTCGGCAGAGTTGTTCTCAAAGAGAAACGGTGCAGAACAGGCTAGATCCCAGCTCGGAGGTTCTGAATGGATTTGCTCGGGAGTACCGGGCCTATAATGGGACTCAAAGGGCTGAAGCAAATTGAGAAGGGCTCGAAAGTGCCGGAAAAAGTTATGCTCAAATGTACCAGAGCTAACAGAGATGATCTCAAAGGAAACATAGCTCGGTGGTACCGGAGAAATTTCTTTGCTAGTTCTGACTAGGTAAAAATAGGGTTCGCTTGACAGAGCACACACCCTACTCACAAGCTCAATAGTACTGGGTAGAATTACTTGAAAGTACCAAGGCTAGGAAAAACAAAGGATTGAGTTCAGGGCTAAAATTCTTAGGGATTTTGGTCGAGGATTTTATCTTGGGAGTTCAACCATTGTTCTTTTGTTTGTGCCTTTCTGATAGTACAATTGTACTAATATTGATGTGAATTTTGGATTCACCAAAGATCTACAAATTACATACTAAGAGTTTGAAGGAGGTAACCACCTGAAGATGTAAAAGTAGGAGTCACAGTCAACTATGGGGACTAATTTACTGAAATAAATTTGACGAAATGTTAGTCATGTCAATTGTCTTGCCATTAATCATGAAAACTCGATAAGGTGCACTTTCAATTGGCCATATAGATCCAAGATGTTTCATGAAAGGACTAGGATGAAACAATGTGCCATTTCACCCCAATCTTTTCACTAGAGGTCACTATCGGTAAAATGGGTATCCCGCCATATTTTTGATGAATTTTGGAGAGGTAGAACTATATATGAGAATTTATTGGCTAATGGGAATTGAAACAGATTTTTTTTAAGATGCAAATATTGGACTTGACATGATTATGTTTTGCAGTGTTTTGTGTGGGATTTATCACAAGTATTGTGTTGTCCTCTTTGGAAAGGCAATATTAGGATTTTAAATTTCCAAAGGATTATACTTAGGATTTGAGGACAAGCTCAAGGAGATGGGACCCTTGGGTACCAATAATTGGTGGGAGATATTTCTTGTCTTGGATAAAAAGAATCATTGTGATCAAAGACCACCACAAGATCCTAAATCCAGTTAAAGAAGAAAAAACATTTTTAGCTTGTTCTCATGCACGCAATGACATCTCTTTGTGCAACCTTCTTTCCACATACAAAGACCAGTTTTTTTTTAGGGGTACAAAAGACCAAATTATATGAAAACATTGTTACCAAACATAATCATCATAATATATGCAGCCCAAAGCCTGGGAAGAAAGTACACGGTGGCAAAGGTGACAAAATGTTGGTCCTGTTAGGACAGGCTTTTGACCAACAATTACTCTATGTTAACATGTAGTCCCTCCATTCCTAAATATAAGTCTTTCTTAGGGATTTTAATATGGACTACATACAAAGCAAAATGAGTGAATCTACACTCTAAAGTACGTCTATATACATCCATATGTAGTACCAATTGAAATCTCTAAAAGGACTTATATTTAGAAACGGAGGGAGTATACTTTATGTGACACCAAACTGATGTCTTAGATTCATATTCCATGTACTTCATGTGACAGAAAATCCATGTCAATAGACTTATATTCCAAAGTACTTTATGTGACATAAAATCCATGTCAATAGACTCATATGCACTTATGTGACATAAAATCCATGTCAATAGACTCATATTCCAATTTACTTTATGAATCTGACAAAAGTTATATATTAATAGTGTAATTGTTGGTCAAAGGTACTAACAAGACCTAATATGCGAAGTAATTTGAGAAGAGGGAGTATAAGACTATAAGTACAACATTAGAAAAAATAAGGGAGGGCTACAATTTTCACAGGTGAATAACTTCTTGCTATATCAGATACCTACAGCATAATAGTACATGATTGTTGACTAAAATGAAAACAACTCTATGGATAAAGGCTAGCCACATCCTACAAAAAATTTGGGACATCTGCATGTCCTGAAAGTTTGCATTGAAGCCAGCACCATCAAACAGATGCCTTGGTCGCAAGAAATTTGGCAGTAGAATTTTCCCACTCCGCCAATAATCTGATGTCTCTGAGGGGAACGCCTTTCTGCAGTACATGAACAGGTGAAATGGTTCAGTTAGATGTAGCTCACATGAAATTAAAGATGAAGATCTGAAATCAGTAATACAGTACTTCACCTTCAACTTCACCCAATCACACCAAAGAATCATTATACCAGATTACTATATAGACAGCAGATGCATGAGTAACTGCAATTTCAGTCCGATGAAATCAGTGTACCAATGGCACATGTCTGCTCGCCCTTCCTTTTTCCCCGCCTCAAGTGCTCCTTAGCTTATGTTTGTCATAAAATCACCACGGAATGATAGTGCCATGATACATCTACCAACTGTGCCCCAATCAAGCTGGCATACAACGGCAGGATTGCAAGAAATTAAAAGAATATACAGATCATCTTTTCGATGGCAACATATCACCTCTTGTAAGGCTTGATGTGATATGATTTGTATTCATCGCCAAATTTTGCTGATTCTTCATCAACCCTTTTTTTCAGCCTTCTCCAGGTCCTTAACATGTTCGCTTGTATAAGACCGCGATACAGTGTTTCAAAGGTGATCTTCTGGGGAAGAAAACCTTTCTCTATCATTTCCATGAAGAATTGGCATGCCTCCTTCCATTTTTCCTTGACACAAAAACCATGAATCAGCAAGGTATATGAATCAAGATCAGGACCCACGGTGCTCTCACACATATCGTTCCAAAGTTCCGTAACAGTTTCATGTCGGTCCAACTTGATGAACATTCCAAGCAATATATTGTAACTATGAATATCTGGTGCAGTTGGTGAACAAGGAGCCTTCATCTTGTTGTACAATTCAAGGGCACCACTAACATCTTTTCTCCCTCGGTACTCTTTGAAGAAGCAATTGTAGGTCGCTGGGGAGGGACACACCCCCTCACTAACCATCTCACCAAGCAACTTCTCAGCATCTTCTAGTCTCCCACACGAAGCAAGGCACTTGATCACAGAAGTGTAGGTTGCCACTGTGGGGCAAATGCCTCTATCCTTCATTGAGCGGAACATACACAAACATAGTTCAGCCTTATGTGCACGACTGTAAACATGCAGGATGATTGAGTAGCTCATTACATCTGGTTCAATTCCCCTGTCACTCATCTCCTTCAAGAGATTCTCAGCTGCATTAACTGTTCTATCAAACCGGTTATCAGGGTGCAAACTTGCATGCCTACAGATACCATTTAAGAGAATGTTGTATGTAACTATGTTTGGCTCTATCCCATGATCAATCATATCTTTTAGGAATTTCTGAGACATGTCACTTCGGTTTACCTTGCACCAGCCATAAATTAAGATAGTGTACATCTTTTCGTTTGGTTCATATTTGTATTTTCTTTTATTGAATATCTCCACAGCAACCTGCAATGATGATAAAAATGCCAGTGGGCACATTAGAGAATTATTATCAGACCCTCCAAACAATCTACATAAAGAAGACTACAACTGTGTGACAGCTGACTGATGCAATTCAAACACTTGTTGGGCAAATAGTATATCTATTTTAGATGAAATAGAGATACTTTTTAGTCAACTGTTTCTATTTCATATACAAATATCTCTACAACTTTCTACACATACCTTATTTGACTATCAAACTGAAGTAACAACTTCCAGCCAAACTATACGCATTAGGATGCAGGCACTTCGTAAAGTTGATCTATTCTGGCATCACATACGTTACATGTCCAAGAAATCCGAAATGCTTCTCTACTGGCTACTGAAGCTACAGATACAAAACATTTATGAGGACATGAGGGCAAACCACTTCATTGGCACCATATTCCCAAACAAACAAACAAAAATCAGTTCAACATTCACAGGAAAACATCGAGATGAGACTAAAGACAAAAAGAACAACTCCATTAATCTAAATCCCAGAATCCAAGCATTAAAAACATATCCAGATGAAACTCCAAAACCATTGGTTAGCATAGTCTTATCTTTGTACACGCGGAAATGCCCAAGATCAAATATCTAGAGTAGAATCTTACTTCTATAATGTTCATAAGAAACCTAGAAATGCATGATCAACCAAGGAAGCAATTTAAGCACTTAATCCTTTCTGCCATCTTGCAGGCATGATCTAATTGTCATGCCAGGTATTTCATCAACCTGAAATGATAATGCTTCTGCAGAGATACTGATCAATAAGCTTGC